CTACACCACTTGTTAATAGCTAATAAATAATCCACTAAAAGATAAACTGAAATTCTTTTCCCTTTGTCAAATAATTGTTTAAAAAAATATATACAGGATGTAGTTCTTGAGAGTTGAAATACGTACTGTACTATATTGGTCGTAAATGATACCAACAAAATATGGAAAAGCCAATTGTGTACAGTTCAGGACATTTATTATAGGAAACTTTTCACCACAAATGGCTTCATCAGTCCTGAAGAAGCCATTCACGGTGAAACACTTCACTTCATAAATGTCCCAAACAGTACACAAGTGGCCTTTTCCACTGTTCTGTATTATCTGCATTTTTTCTACTAATTTTCCTCAACAAACTGGCCATCTCCCACTCAGGTAGAGTGACCCAAAACAGAAGAAACACTTTCACTGTCATTTACTCCATCACTGCCTTGCCAGAGGGGTGCCAATACTACAGTTTAAAACTTCAAATATCCTCACCCACCTATTAATATAACATAATAAAACGGAACTGAAGAGATTCCTTGTATATTCACATTTCTCTACCTATATATATTGTATATCAGAATAATTTTGTGTAATATTATTAATGGTCCCTTCCAAAGAGATCATTTATATTACACAAAGTAGCATTTATGAAGGGATTCAGGGAAACCAGCAAGCCAGACTTGAGTCCTGGAGGTGGGAAGTACAGTACCTGCATTCTGAAGGAGGAGTGGTGGTGGGAAGTACACTACCTGCATTCTGAAGGAGGAATGGTGATGGGAAGTACAGTAGTACCTGCATTCTGAAGGAGGAGTGGTGGTGGGAAGTGCAGTGCCTGAATTCTGAAGGATGGATGGTGGTGGGAAGTATAGTGCCTGCATTCTGAAGGAGGGGTGGTGGTGGGAAGTACAGTGCCTACACTCTGAAGGAGGGGTTTTGGTGGAAAGTAAGTGCCTGCATTCTGAAGGAGGGGTGGTGGTAGGAAGTACAGTGCCTGCACTCTGAAGGAGGGATTTTGGTGGAAAGTACAGTGCCTGTACTCTGAAGGAAGGGTGCTGATGTTGCAGTTTTTTAACTGTAGTACTGGGATGACTCTGGTAAGACAGTGATAGAGTGAATGATGACGAAAGTATTTCTTCTTTTTTTGGTTCACGCTGCCTTGGTGGGAAATGGCCAATGTGTTAATAAATAAAAATGAATGGTCTCTTCCAAAGGTGCGGAGTATTTGCTCCAAACAATAACATTTTTGTGTGTTGTAACAGATGAAGAAGATACTCCAGCCCCGCACAAGAAACAAACTCCAGCAAAGTGAGAAATGATTCTTGCATCATGTAAAGGATGCCTGTCAAGTAAACTACATGAAGAAAGCTGTGGAAGATGGTGGTGGGTGGAGTAGTGATGGTGGTGGGTGGAGTAGTGATGGTGGTGGGTGGAGTAGTGATGGTGGTGGGTGGAGTAGTGATGGTGGTGGGTGGAGTAGTGATGGTGGTGGGTGGAGTAGTGATGGTGGTGGGTGGAGTAGTGATGGTGGTGGGTGGAGTAGTGATGGTGGTGGGTGGAGTAGTGATGGTGGTGGGTGGAGTAGTGATGGTGGTGGGTGGAGTAGTGATGGTGGTGGGTGGAGTAGTAATAGTGAACTTCTAGTCTATTAAAACATCTGCCAATCCATGAAATATTACTGTTTGAACCTTACTTGTAATATTGTTGTTATTATGTACAACTTGAACATTAATATTCTTATAAAGCTCCACCTTGACTACCTCACATTAATATTAAGATTAAATATAAATTTATTAAAAAGTTAACCACTCTTATCTTGTCTAGATTTAAATAGTTTTTATGTACTAGGATTAGTTTACCCAAAATGCCCCGGCATGATAGTGACTTTCTTTGTACTTAACAAATCAAAATTGTCGTAACCTTTGTAAAGAAATAAAATCTTTAATCTTTTATGAATTTAGTGCTCCCTAAGTATAAAAATAATAATAAGAACTACTTAATGGCAATTTAATGTTCTGAATGTAATTTTACTTAAAAACTATAGATACATTAGGTGAAGGTCTCTTGATCCAAGGACTTGGAGTTAACCTTCCTTTCCCTCAATCTATCCTGAATATTTCCAATGTCCTAGGTGCCCCATCACTCTTGCAGGTGTAATGCTTTTACATAAATACAGTAATAAAAGGAACATATTCACTGGAGTGACATCTGAACTGTCGTATCTGTGCACCTCTGGCAAGACAGTGATAGTGTGAATACTGGTGAAACTGTTTCCTTTTCTTTGGTCACCCTATCTTGGTGGAAGATGGCTGGCATGTTAAAAAAAAAACTACTTGTTTAGCACCTAATTCTATAAGCTGGTTGCAACCTGGCTGGGTTGGGCAGACAGTACTGTGCATTCTTCAATTGAGGAAAATGAACACATACAAATGACAGGTTTGCATGCTAGGGTGGTGTGTGGGTGGCAGGTGTGGGTGGTGTGTGTGGGTGGTGGGTAGACTTACAACCCAACTTTTGCTACTGTTTTGAGTGACCGAGACTGCTTGGGGAATTTTCCATCCTGTGTCAATACCCTCATTACTCTTTACCCTTGTCAGCATGAGTTCAAGTGACCAGTGTGGAACATTCCTTTAGGGCAATGCACTGACGATTATATACGGGAAGTCTAGGAAAAAACATATGCTCTGATATGCATGATTTGTGGAATGTACCTCAGTGTTAGGTAGAGAATGTCTGTCCTAAAACTGACCAATTTTTGAGATTTTAACATATCTTTTTAATTATTTCCTAATGGCCTCCTTTATGCAAGATGAAGTTCTTAACATTGATACTTGCTTTTCTTTATAAAAGTGATCAAAACCAACCATATGCTTACTTGTTGTAAGCAGGTGAGAGTCAACTTTTAACTAAATATGTAAACTGGTGTTTACCTACAGTAATTCCAGAATGCACAATACCTACATCGAGTGTGACACTAAATTTAAAGAGTCAAGTTTTCATTGAAAAGTTCTACAGCAATTAGCATTACTGTACTCGTCAGCCTACAGCAAATCAAACCATGCACTCGTTTGTTGTAACTGCATATACTGTTATGACTAACAGATGCTGCTACTGCAAAGTCCTTGCCGTGCACTGATCAAGTCTAACTTGTTGAAAGTCTGCTGTTAATCCTATTCACTTTTGTGATCACCACTAACACAACTCTGTGGGTTACCATGCCTACACTTAAGAACGTGAGGCTAGGACTCACCTGTCCATGCTGGTGGTGGTGTTGGTGGTGAGGGGGATGTGAGGGAGGATCATGGCGGCTGGTGATGGCTAACCGCAGTGGACCGTCCTGTTGATACATACGCACACCTCCAAAGCTAGCGCCACACACAAACATCTATGAGGACCGCCCATGAGTTATTTAGAATCACTCAAGAACGTTATTTTACAAGCCTTTCTCGGACAGTAATACAGTGTCAATGATCTTTAACTCATTAGGAATATGGGTGATAAACCCACGCCAGTACTTATACCAGGGAGGTTAGTACACGAACAGCTTGTACATCCCATTTAGCAGAGTCATTTAATCAAATTCTCTATCCAATAATTACTACAAAATAACTAATGGACGGTCCAGAAAGGCTTCATGCTGAAGGCACACAGCAATAACTATCTAGGGGTCAATGCAAATTGTCAAACAAATGCAGAAAAATATGTCCAAATATAAATTCACAGCGGGGCACCATAAAACTATTCTTTAATTAGGCATCATAAAGATAGTTCTTAAAGTTACCAAAAATATGGCAATGACCCAAAGAAAATTGGTTGGATCTGGTACAAAGCATTTTCAGGCAAGTTTTTTATAACATTACCTTGCATAAGTTGAAACTGGTTGCTTGACTTTAAAAGATAATGAGTTTGCCAAAAATGCATCTCAAACAGATCTTCCTTCAGTCAGTCACAAAGATGACTTGTAGCTCTTTAAATTGTTATTATTTTATGATTAACTAATGACAGAGTTTTATAAAGACCAAAAAGGCACAATACTGTGACTGGAACAATACACAAATAAACCACACATAGGAGAGAGGAGTTTACGACGATGTTGGTGTGACTTTGTAAATGGTCCAAGTCGGACCAAAATGTCATCACAAGCTCCTCTCTCCTACGTGCAGGTTATTTGTGTAGTGACAGAATTCTATCAGAGATTCCTTCGAGGTCACCTTGTCTAGGAGTTAGAGAGACAGTTCTACAAGGATGTACTCTAATTTTCTTTTTAATTAATCTTGGTAAGGACTATTTCAAGATGAATTTCATGCAAAATAAATACCATACCCTAAATATTTCACAATTCATCATTTATTTACTCCAAGGGAAATAAATGTATACAAGCAAAATGAGAGTATCAACATACGACAGAGCCAAGCAGAGATTCATCCTTATCCAAGATTTTTTTTTACCATTTTTACATAAGTCATCCTTGCTTATGACTGAAAGAATGCACCATTCCCAAACTGTGCAGTGTAAAATATTACATACTGTACTGCATGTGTGCTTTTTCTGGCAAGATACAGTACTGTACAGTACGTACTGTACAAAGTATTGTGAGAGAGTAATTCTTAGATGCGTGTGTATTTGACCATGCATCCTTATCTTTCCTGGTAACATTAATTTTTAATTATGATGCAACAAGGCAATAGATAAAATAGAATAATAAAACCAGAAGAGTGGTCCCTATTGTCATCAGATGGAGGGTCAGCCTACACGAACTTCAGTATAAGCCAATTCAGCTCAAAGACACATCAACTTGAATTAAATTTCCAAACTTAACTGCAAATGCTGGAATAATTGCTCAATACTGTATTGTATTGTTTTACATATAACAAGAAGCTCTCAATAACAAACACTTTGGCTCAGAAATTCATCGCAACATTCACTTCAGTGCCGTAAAGGAGCCACACTGAACAAGAAACAAATGAAACAGGGAAATGAAAAGCTATTAAGCAGTTTCAAACAAATATGGTAGTTACCTGGGAGACTGGTGGCGCAGACGTAGCCGGTGGCGGTGGACTGAGGCCGTCGTCTCTGCGGTCAGGAGGGGACACGTCTGGCAGTATTGACCCTCCATTACCTCCACTACTCCCAGCAGCTGAATGTGGCGGTGACACTGGCCCTGGTGACACACTGCCACTGTGTGCCAAATCGGCTGGGTACATTCATATATTCGTCAGATTTATAAGAAAAAAAGAAGTAGTCAAACATTTACCAGAAAAATTCCAAAGAAAACCAAGTTGCTAATGGAGTCATAATTTAAATAAAGTTTTCCTTCAAAGTTATGTACTATGTACATACTGTACTCATTTTTTTCTTCTTTATACTCATGCACTTTATTTTAGGTCTCAAACCTTTTATTCTAGCAAATGTTTGTTAAATGATTCATATAGCGCATGATGTCCAATAAGAATATTACGGTATACAGGCACTCCTCGACTTACGATGGGAACACTTTCCGATGATCCCATCATAAGTTGCAATTATTGTAAGTTGAATGTGAATATAATAATATGATAAATATATAAGTAAGTACATAACTACTGTCATTGAATAAGTAAATATACAAATAATTACTGTAACTAAATACTACAAAAATATTGAAAAGTAAATAAATGAATACAGGTTATGGACTTGCCTTCATTCTGGGTAATCATCTTAAGTTTCATCTCCAAAGTACGTAATTGCTTTCGCACCATCGTAAAGTCAAAATATTGTAAGTTGAATTATCGTAAGTCAAAGAGCATCTGTATACTGTGTTGTATTATGCTGAAAAACACGATGCAAGGAAATCTCAAAAGTGGGAAACATACCCGTAGATCTGATGATTGCTAACACCTGCCCGTCCACTGAAGACCGGTCAGGGATGGGCCAAGGGGCATTGCCCCCTGAAACACCCCCCAGGAAACCCCCAAACAGGGCAACCCAAAAAACAAGCATTTTCACCATCATTCACACCATCATCGTCTTGCCGGAGTCGCACAGATACAACAGTTTAGATGTCACTCTAAACAGCAAATACAGTGGACCCTCAGTTAACAATACCATCGGATAGCAATAAAATCAGATACCGATACATTTTTGCATCAAAATATTGGCTCAGCTAATGATAAAAAACTCAGTTAAGGACATTTATCCAGAACGTGTCCATGCGGCTTGAGCCACCCGGGCTGCCCGGCCACTCCATGTACAGCCAGTGTGCCATTGTTTACAAGCCAGTGCGGACGATTCCACTCGTACATGCAATACATTTTGTCTTATTCCATTGTTTTTAGTGCTTTTATTTTATTTTATTATCACCCGAAAAAGAAAAACTTTCACCATCATTCACTCCATCACTGTCTTGCCAGAAGGGTGCTTTACACTACAGTTTTTAAACTGCAACATTAAACACCCCTCCTTCAGAGTGCAGGCACTGTACTTCCCATCTCCAGGACTCAAGTCCGGCCTGCCAGTTTTCCTGAATCCCTTCATAAATGTTACTTTGCTCACACTCCAACAGCACGTCAAGTATTAAAAAACCATTTGTCTCCATTCACTCCTATCAAACACGCTCACGCATGCCTGCTGGAAGTCCAAGCCCCTCTCACACAAAACCTCCTTTACCCCCTCCCTCCAACCTTTCCTAGGCCGACCCCTACCCCGCCTTCCTTCCACTACAGACTGATACACTCTTGAAGTCATTCTGTTTCGCTCCATTCTCTCTACATGTCCGAACCACCTCAACAACCCTTCCTCAGCCCTCTGGACAACAGTTTTGGTAATCCGCACCTCCTCCTAACTGCTTGTAACTGCTAAATAAGCCACCATGGGCCCAAAGAAAGCTTCTAGTGCTAACCCTGTGGTAAAAAAGGGTGAGAAATACTATTGAACTGAAGAAGAAAACTGTGGCCACAATGTGTACATAAGAAGGATTTTGAAGGGTTTGGGGCTAACCCTGAGGAGCCTATACCAGTTGTGGAATCTATTGTGTCACTGGGTTGGAGGTTAGTGGCAAGAATGTGGAAGAGTTGGTGGAGGACGACGATGAAGAGCTAACCACTGATGAGCTGCAAGAGCTTCATCTGCAACAGCAACGGACTACAGCTGAGGAAACTGCTTCAGAGGAGGGGGAAGAGAGATGGAGGAAGTTGCCTTCTTCAATGATTAAGGACATTTGTACAATGTGGACAAAGGTGCAAACCTTTATGGATGAACATTACCCTGACACAGCTGTTGCAAGCCATGCTGGTGACTTTTACAATGACAATGTTAGTGTCCCATTTTAGGGAAATCTTAAAGACACGCCAGAAACAGAGCTCTCTGGACAGATTTTTGGTGCGACAGGGGGTCCAATGACTCTCAAGCTGGTCCTAGTGACATTAAAAAACAAAGAAGAGAGGTTTTTTTTTTTTTTTTTCAACAAGTCGGCCGTCTCCCACCGAGGCAGTGACCCAAAAAAAGAAAGAAAATCCCCAAAAAGAAAATATTTTCATCATCATTCAACACTTTCACCACACTCGCACATTATCACTGTTTTTGCAGAGGTGCTCAGAATACAACAGTCTAGAAGCATACACATATAAAGATACACAACATATCCCTCCAAACTGCCAATATCCAAACCCCTTCTTCAAAGTGCAGGCACTGTACTTCCCATTTCCAGGACTCAAGTCCAACTATATGAAAATAACCGGTTTCCCTGAATCCCTTCACTAAATATTACCCTGCTCACACTCCAACAGATCGTTAGGTCCCAAGTACCATTCGTCTCCATTCACTCCTATCTAACACACTCACGCACACTTGCTGGAAGTCCAAGCCCCTTGCCCACAAAACTTCCCTTACCCCCTCTCTCCAACCCTTTCGAGGACGACCCCTACCCCGCCTTCCTTCCCCTATAGATTTATATGCTTTCCATGTCATTCTACTTTGATCCATTCTCTCTAAATGACCAAACCACCTCAACAACCCTCTTCTGCCCTCTGACTAATACTTTTATTAACTCCACACCTTTTCCTAATTTCCACCACTCCGAATTTTCTGCATAATATTTACACCACACATTGCCCTTAAACAGGACATCTCCACTGCCTCCAACTGTCTCCTCGCTGCTGCATTTACCACCCAAGCTTCACACCCATATAAGAGTGTTGGTACTACTATACTTTCATACATTCCCTTCTTTGCCTCCATAGATAACGTTTTTTGACTCCACATATACCTCAATGCACCACTCACCTTTTTCCCTCATCAATTCTATGATTAACCTCATCCTTCATAAATCCATCCGCCAACACGTCAACTCCCAAGTATCTGAAAACATTCACTTCTTCCATACTCCTCCTCCCCAATTTGATATCCAATTTCTCTTTATCTAAATCATTTGACACCCTCATCACCTTACTCTTTTCTATGTTCACTTTCAACTTTCTACCTTTACACACATTCCCAAACTCATCCACTAACCTTTGCAATTTTTCTTTAGAATCTCTCATAAGCACAGTATCATCAGCAAAAAGTAACTGTGTCAATTCCCATTTTGAATTTGATTCCCCAAAATTTAATCCCACCCCTCTCCCGAACACTCTAGCATTTACTTCCTTTACAACCCCATCTATAAATATATTAAACAACCATGGTGACATTACACATCCCTGTCTAAGACCTACTTTTACCAAGAAATAGTCTCCCTCTCTTCTACACACCCTAACCTGAGCCTCACTATCCTCATAAAAACTCTTTACAGCATTTAATAACTTGCCACCTATTCCATATAGTACTTGCAACATCTGCCACATTGCTCCTCTATCCACTCTATCATATGCCTTTTCTAAATCCATAAATGCAATAAAAACTTCCCTACCTTTATCTAAATACTGTTCACATATATGCTTCAATGTAAACACTTGATCTACACATCCCCTACCCACTCTGAAACCTCCTTGCTCATCCGCAATCCTACATTCTGTCTTACCTCTAATTCTTTCAATTATAACCCTACCGTACACTTTTCCTGGTATACTCAGTAAGCTTATTCCTCTATAATTTTTACAGTCTCTTTTGTCCCCTTTCCCTTTAAATAAAGGGACTATACATGCTCTCTGCCAATCCCTAGGTACCTTCCCCTCTTTCATACATTTATTAAACAAAAGTACCAACCACTCCAACACTATATCCCCCCCTGCTTTTAACATTTCTGTCATGATCCCATCAGTTCCAGCTGCTTTACCCCCTTTCATTTTACGTAATGCCTCACGTACCTCCCCCACACTTACATTCTGCTCTTCTTCACTCCTAAAAGATGGTATACCTCCCTGACCAGTGCATGAAATTACTGCCTCTGTTTCTTCCTTAACATTTAAAAGTTCCTCAAAATATTCTCGCCATCTACCTAATACCTCCATCTCCCCATCTACTAACTCCCCTACTCTGTTTTTAACTGACAAATCCATACTTTCCCTAGGCTTTCTTAACTTGTTTAACTCACTCCAAAATTTTTTTCTTATTTTCATTAAAATTTCTTGACAGTGCCTCTCCCACTCTATCATCTGCTCTCCTTTTGCACTCTCTCACCACTCTCTTTACCTTTCTTTTACTCTCCATATACTCTGCTCTTCTTATAACACTTCTGCTTTGTAAAAACCTCTCATAAGCTAACTTTTTCTCTTTTATCACACCCTTTACTTCATCATTCCACCAATCACTCCTCTTTCCTCCTGCCCCCACCCTCCTATAATCACAAACTTCTGCCCCACATTCTAACCTGGAGTTTACCTGGAGAGAGTTCCGGGGGTCAACGCCCCCGCGGCCCGGTCTGTGACCAGGCCTCCTGGTGGATCAGAGCCTGATCAACCAGGCTGTTGCTGCTGGCTGCACGCAAACCAACGTATGAGCCACAGCTCGGCTGGTCAGGAACCGACTTTAGGTGCTTGTCCAGTGCCAGCTTGAAGACTGCCAGGGGTCTGTTGGTAATCCCCCTTATGTATGCTGGGAGGCAGTTGAACAGTCTCGGGCCCCTGACACTTATTGTATGGTCTCTTAACGTGCTAGTGACACCCCTGCTTTTCATTGGGGGGATGTTGCATCGTCTGCCAAGTCTTTTGCTTTCGTAGTGAGTGATTTTCGTGTGCAAGTTCGGTACTAGTCCCTCTAGGATTTTCCAGGTGTATATAATCATGTATCTCTCCCGCCTGCGTTCCAGGGAATACAGGTTCAGGAACCTCAAGCGCTCCCAGTAGTTGAGGTGTTTTATCTCCCTTATGAGCGCCGTGAAGGTTCTCTGTACATTTTCTAGGTCAGCAATTTCACCTGCCTTGAAAGGTGCTGTTAGTGTGCAGCAATATTCCAGCCTAGATAGAACAAGTGACCTGAAGAGTGTCATCATGGGCTTGGCCCAACCCTATTCCAACCCTCCTCAACCCCCCCACTACTCATCTTTGCACTAGCCCACCTTTCTGCCAATAGTCGCTTATATCTCACCCGAACTTCCTCCTCCCTTAGTTTATACACTTTCACCTCCCTCTTACTTGTTGTTGCCACCTTCCTCTTTTCCCATCTACTTCTTACTCTAACTGTAGCTACAACTAAATAATGATCCGATATATCAGTTGCCCCTCTATAAACATGTACATCCTGAAGAGAGGTAACCCCAGAAAAGGACTTGCTACCAAACAATAATACACCTCTATCCTCTTCCCTCCTCCCATCTCATCACTAAGTCTTCCATAAAGGTAAGTGTCATTTTTTTAATTATTAATGTATTTATTCTGCATGTCTCATTGTTTTCTGTGTAGGAAAATGTATATTTCATGTGAAAAAAATTTTTTCTTTAATACTTTTGGGTGTCTGGAACGGATTAATTGGATTTCCATTATTTCTTATGGGGAAAATTATTTTGGATAATGATAAAATCGGTTAAGGACAAGCTCTCTGAAACGGATTAATATCGTTAACTAAGGGTCCACTGTATCCCAAACCCTTCCTTTAGAGTGCAGGCACTGTACTTCCCACCTCCAGAACTCAAGTCAGTGAAGGTACTAAACTTCCCATCTCCAGGACATGCAGGTACTTAGTTTCCTATCTCCAGGACTCAAGTCAGTGTAGGTACTGTACTTCCCACCTCCAGGACTCAAGTTCAGCTAACTGGTTTCCCTGAATCCCTTCACAATATATTACCCTGCTCACACTCAATACAATAATAATTACTATATTTCTACAGTGCTTTAGCTATACATCACACATATCACAGCTCTGCATGTCTCTACCTCAGATGGCAGTTACCTTCACCTGTCATAAAGAACTGGAGTGAACATAATTACCTCCCTTTCCCTAGTTGCTATATGGCCCCCTATGAATTCAGTTTTTTTTTTTTTTAACTGCTAGCTGTCTCCCACCAAGGTAGGGTGACCTAAAAAAGAAGAGTGTAAGATTTCCTTTTTGCCCCTTCCTCCTGGCATTGTAGGTGCTTCTTACAACACGTATGACTTACAGAGGAAAGATTCTTTTCCACTTCCCCATGGAGAATGATTATTTTTTTTTTTTTTAACAAATCGGCCATCTCCCACCAAGGCAGGGTGACCCAAAAAAGAAAGAAAATCCCCAAAAAGAAAATACTTTCATCATCATTCAACACTTTCACCACACTCACACATAATCACTGTTTTTGCAGAGGTGCTCAGAATACAACAGTTTAGAAGTATATATGTATAAAGATACACAACATATCCCTCCAAACTGCTAATATCCCGAACCCCTCCTTTAGAGTGCAGGCAACATTGTACTTCCCATTTCCAGGATTCAAGTCCGGCTATATAAAAATAACCAGTTTCCCTGAATCCCTTCACTAAATATTACCCTGCTCACACTCCAACACCTTGTCAGGTCCAAATACCATTCGTCTCTATTCACTCCTATCTGTCTTTGATCTGGAGAACTGTATACCACTCTTCATTATTCAGAAAATTTCAAATACTGAAGATTACTGGGGTACTTCAAATTCAAAAATTTAAATTTCTAATACTGTATATAGTACGTACAGTATTAGATTACCTACAGTGTAGATTACATACAGGTGAATCCACATTACTATACAAAAAAATTATAAAAAAACAAAAAATGAAAAGGTTACAGTGTGTGTTCACATTTCATAATTTGACTGGTACAAATAAAGCCACTATCATGCCGAGGCATTTCGGTCAAACAACCTAATACTTAAAGACTACTTAAGTTTAGACAGGTAAAGAGTGGTAAATTACAAATAATAGTGTAAAGTTATAAATACTAGCTCTGGCTTACCTGAGTGTGTTGTGTATTCTGAGCTTCCTGACAAACAAGTGTGACAAAATCAGAGAATGTGTCATGGCCATTTTCATGATATTTAGTGGGTGAAGGCGGCCCCGCCTCGTGGTAGTAGCTCGGAGCTGCGGCCATCACAGTACTGCTTAGTGACATGGGCGGCAACACTGTGAAAAAAAAAAACTATGTAAACAAAGCAGCTGTTGCTTTGAAATCTTTATATACACATACTGTATGTTTGTCTTACAAGATGGCTACACAGGTTATATAGACCCTCCATACTTCCGTCTGCCTTTTTTTTCAGATGCATTAATTTTGAATGTTGCATCAGTGCCAGCTTAGACAAGCAGGTATCCTGCACAATGTTTTTTTTTTAATTCCATAAAAACGATCCCTACAGTACATGTATTTATCCACCTAAACAAACAAAATAAAAATTCATTTACACACACCTATTCTCAGATTCCACACTTGTGGCACACACACAAGCATTCCCTCTCCTCATACAAGTACTTCACAGGAAGCCATTTAGTAATAGTGGAATACACAAAATACACCAATAACCCGAATATAGGAGAAAGAAACTTATGACGATGTTTTGGTCTGACTTGGGCCATTAACTAGTCACACTATCACATGATGGTAATGGAGCCAGTATATATATAATGAGAGAAAAGCAGGGACAGGATAATGTTAGGTAAAAGGACACAGGTGCAACTAATGTCACACTTTATTGTGGTAGTGTTTTGCTCTCCTGGAGCTTGACAAAGCTCCTGGAGTGTGCATTTGCTTTCTAACAATGATAAATCAAAAAACAACAGGGGATGTCATCATGACACACCAAACCTACAGACAACAAACTGGCTTGACAAGGAACTTCCCTTTACTAGATAGAAAACAGGAATAAAATGACATGGTTGGAAATTATATTTTGAAATGAGCCACAAAGATATTTTAAAAATATTTTTTCAATATTGAAGTGGCAAAGAAGTGGAATGACCTGAGCAATATCACAGTAGTAACAGAATCCATATAAAGCTTCAAAAAATGGATATACTAAGGCTCTCATTCTGTGGGTTGAACATAAAGCAGGAACAAGAGCTACACCTCAGACCCTGTAAACTCAAATAGGTAGAGGCGGGCCCCAATGCTTCACTTTACAGCGCTTTGCTACTGCATCTGTTTTCACTTATACCCATTCTTCACTTATTCAGACTTTCTACAATAAATTTATTCACCACTCACTATAAGCTAAGGATGAAAATATTTTAAAGTAGGTAATGTGTGTACTGTATATGTTCACTTAATATATGATAGTGTAAACATGTTATCAGGTTTTTGTATGTATTTTAAAGTGAAAAAAGAGTTATGATTCACTTTAGAGAGATTTTTACTTTACAGCAGTAGCCCAGAACCTAACCTGAAGTATAAGTGAGCCCGCCTGTACAGCAGTAGCCCAGAACCTAACCTGAAGTATAAGTGAGCCCGCCTGTACAGCAGTAGCCCAGAACCTAACCTGAAGTATAAGTGAGCCCGCCTGTACAGCAGTAGCCCAGAACCTAACCTGAAGTTAAGTGAGCCCCTGTACAGCAGTAGCCAAACCTAACCTGAAGTATAAGTGAGCCGCTGTACAGCAGTAGCCCAGAACCTAACCTGCAGTACAAGCCCGCTTTGTAGCAGTAGCCCAGAACCTAACTGAAGTATAAGTGAGCCCGCCTGTACAGCAGTAGCCCAGAACCTAACCTGAAGTATAAGTGAGCCCGCCTGTACAGCAGTAGCCCAGAACCTAACCTGAAGTATAAGTGAGCCCGCCTGTACAGCAGTAGCCCAGAACCTAACCTGAAGTATAAGTGAGCCCGCCTGTACAGCAGTAGCCCAGAACCTAACCTGCAGTATAAGCCCGCCTGTACAGCAGTAGCCCAGAACCTAACCTGCAGTATAAGCGAGCCCGCCTGTACAGCAGTAGCCCAGAACCTAACCTGCAGTATAAGCGAGCCCGCCTGTACAGCAGTAGCCCAGAACCTAACCTGCAGTATAAGCAAGCCCACCTGTACAGCAGTAGCCCAGAACCTAACCTGCAGTACAAGCCCGCCTGTACAGCAGTAGCCCAGAACCTAACCTGCAGTATAAGCGAGCCCGCCTGTACAGCAGTAGCCCAGAACCTAACCTGCAGTATAAGCGAGCCCGCCTGTACAGCAGTAGCCCAGAACCTAACCTGCAGTATAAGCAAGCCCGCCTGTACAGCAGTAGCCCAGAACCTAACCTGCAGTATAAGCAAGCCCGCCTGTACAGCAGTAGCCCAGAACCTAACCTGCAGTATAAGCAAGCCCGCCTGTACAGCAGTAGCCCAGAACCTAACCTGCAGTATAAGCAAGCCCGCCTGTACAGCAGTAGCCCAGAACCTAACCTGCAGTATAAGCAAGCCCGCCTGTAGAGCAGTAGCCCAGAACCTAACCTGCAGTATAAGCAAGCCCACCTGTACAGCAGTAGCCCAGAACCTAACCTGCAGTATAAGCAAGCCCACCTGTACAGCAGTAGCCCAGAACCTAACCTGCAGTATAAGCAAGCCCGCCTGTACAGCAGTAGCCCAGAACCTAACCTGCAGTATAAGCGAGCCCGCCTGTACAGCAGTAGCCCAGAACCTAACCTGCAGTATAAGCAAGCCCGCCTGTAGAGCAGTAGCCCAGAACCTAACCTGCAGTATAAGCAAGCCCACCTGTACAGCAGTAGCCCAGAACCTAACCTGCAGTATAAGCGAGCCCGCCTGTACAGCAGTAGCCCAGAACCTAACCTGCAGTATAAGCAAGCCCGCCTGTACAGCAGTAGCCCAGAACCTAACCTGCAGTATAAGCAAGCCCGCCTGTACAGCAGTAGCCCAGAACCTAACCTGCAGTATAAGCGAGCCCGCCTGTACAGCAGTAGCCCAGAACCTAACCTGCAGTATAAGCAAGCCCGCCTGTAGAGCAGTAGCCCAGAACCTAACCTGCAGTATAAGCAAGCCCACCTGTACAGCAGTAGCCCAGAACCTAACCTGCAGTATAAGCGAGCCCGCCTGTACAGCAGTAGCCCAGAACCTAACCTGCAGTATAAGCAAGCCCGCCTGTACAGCAGTAGCCCAGAACCTAACCTTCCGTATATGTGGAGCCCGCCTGTACAGCAGTAGCCCAGAACCTAATCTTCTGTATAAGTGGGGCCCTCATGTAGCAGTAACCCAGAACCTAATGTGCAGTATAAGTGGGGCTCTCCTACAACTATAGTCAAACAAACACAGGTAACCAGAGAGAGGAACAAAGTGGAGTGTACCAAAGGAAACAACAGATTCACTTTCACTAAACTAAAGATAATGGAGGGCAGAAGCACCAGAGAAAGATTTTTTCTTTTTAAATAAAACACACTAACGGCCTCCCACCATGGCAGGGTGACCTGAAAAAGAAACACTTTCACCATCATTCACACTATCACTGTCTTGCCAGACATGACAATTTAGATATTCTTCCAAAACAGCGAACATCCCAAACCCCTCCTTAAAACATTAAACCAGCTAAAAAAATCAGGAAGGTACAAGCTTTCAAATTTTAACAAAACTGATACTGTACAAATGTAGGGAAGTTAATGGCAAATATTGCAAGACTGGGGAAAAATCAAGTGAGGCAGAGGGCAACAATACTGATAACCTATGTAGGAAGCCATTAAATTTGTGAGAAAACAAAACAAATTGGATATCAAGAAATCATTAGGTATTTCTAGCTCAATTGGTAGCACACTCAGCTCACACACTGAGATCCTGGGGTCGATCCTCGATATGGGTTGAAACATCAGGATGTGTTTCATTAAGACATCTGCTGTCCCTGTTCACCTAGCAGTAATATAGGTACCTGGGTGTTAGTCAACTGGTGTGGGTTGCATCCTGGGGGTAAAATTGACTTAATTTACCCAAAAATACTCAGCATAACAAGTGGCTTTCTATATAGTAGTATGTCACTGATGTCAACTATGGTCTGTATACCTTGTACATGTACTGGTAGAAATAAAAATTATTTAATTATTACTAGATATTAAAAGAGTACAGAATATAACAGTCACTGATGCAGTGACTAAGGAGACACCAAGTCAAGATGTAGCTAACAAAATAGTTTTGAATAATGTAATCAAAGAAGTAAAAAATATAATAAGGATGGAAAAGACTGGGAAATAACTCTGCCCATCAATTAAAAGTAAGGGCCAGAAGGCAGAGCTCTGTGAATACAACTCAGTGAGCATACATGTACACACATACATACATACATGTTCACTTTTGCATCAATGTATACAATGTATACTGTACACAGTAAAAAAATTATTTCTAACCTTCTCTAAAACATCTTATCAGAAATATTTATTGTAAAAAAAAAACATAATTTGTTGTAAATTAAATACTGTGTTGCTGTACATTGTTAAGGGTCGGTGTTGCAGGTCGACTGCTCTACTACACTAAACAAAGTTGACACTACTGAAAAAATCTGAATGCAATGTCTATCTACATAAAAATCAATCATTTTCCACACTTCGAGATGGGTATCATGCAGGATCTTCCCCAAACACTTGGTGCATATACTTGTCTACATAACAATATTGTTACCAATAACTCTATAGCAACATTCTGCACACTTAACAAAATATCATCCTTGTTAGTTTAGTTATCACACAAGTGATGCAGTTGTCTCCACTTGATGGTACAGTATGTGAAAGTAAACATACCGGTAATTTAAAATATGCAACGTGGCCAAGTGACCAGAAGCAGTAAGAGAGTGAAATGTTTGAAAATGAGGTATGCCAGTGGTTGCAAGATGATGTCAAGTTTGAAGATGCGACAGACCACTGCATGGCACTGTAGTGTAGCTGTGACCATGTGTGTGTGTGTGTGTGTGTGTGTGTGTGTGTGTGTGTGTGTGTGTGTGTGTGTGTGTGTGTGTGTGTGTGTGTGTGTGTGTGTGTGTGTGTGTGTGTGTTGTGTGTGTGTGTGACAGTAGGAGGGAGGAGGAGGAAGATGAGTCTACAAGAACAGTACTGCCAAATTTGATTTCCAAGGTAGTGCAGCATTTCTTAGGGCAACCAGGGGATAGCTGACCAAGTACCCACTAATTCAATGAGCTGTTTACTGACAGTGCCTTCAGCTTGCTAGAGGAATTAAAGAAAGGAGCTAGAGTGGAGGAGACATGGATACACAAGTTGACGATGGGTATCTAACCTTCTCGTGGGTGTGGCGAGACAACTGCACGTGTGTGTTGTTCGTGACTAGATAGAGACTCTACAGATGGCGCTCTAACTACAGTCTGTAGCGCACCTGATGTTGCTATTGTTACTTTACCACCACTGTGCACCAGGTGAGGCGAGTGCACTGATGGCGGACCTGCCAAACAAAAGAAAATATTTATGCTAAAATATCAATTATACCAAGTCAACAATTGTGTGATGCTTAAATGAATATAATAAAGAGGAGAGTTCATATTTACAAGAAATTATACACAATAATACTTCCACTAATTTCCTCTTTCATATAAATATTTTTTAATTAAATATTACATAGACCTAAATGACTACTTAACTGCTAAATGGGCATAGGTTACATTTCGTTTTCTGTAGGTTTATGAGGTCGTGGGTAGTTCTCAATCATTATGAGCTATAGATACTAGTAAATGCAGATTATTAAATCACGGTTTGTCTACATCAAATGGTTCTTATTGTGGTGTGATGCAAAGACTCGGAATTGTTTCACAAAGACTTCCACATTTGGCAGTTATACTGCGCACATACTTCCCATGTCACTGATGTATTCCTTTACTATGTTCCTTCATTAAGCATTTTATGCATGTTCTATGAGCCCTCTGTCGATTTATATTCCACTCATTACTATGCACGTTCTCGGAATGTTCCTCTACATCCATTCCATTTCAAAGAAATGCTACAATGACTTTATCTAATTAAAGATTCCTTTAGTAAAGAGATGTGAAAAATGCCTTGACCAAGTATCATATGTTTTTATTTATTAACACATTGGCTGTCTCCCACCAAGGCAGGGTGGCTGGAAAAACAAAAACTTTCATCATCATTCACTCCATCACTCTCTTACCAGAGACGCACTTACACTACAGTTATAAAACTGCAACATCAACGTCCCTCCTTCAGAGTGCAGACACTGTACTTCCCATCCCTAGGACTCAAGTCCGGCCTGCCGGTTTCCCTGAATCCCTTCATAAATGTTGCCTTGCTCACATTCCAACAGCACATCAAGTCCTAAAAATCATTTGTCTCCATTCACTCCTATCAAACACGCTCATGCATGTTTGCTGGAAGTCCAAGCCCCTCCCTCCAACCATTCCTAGGCCGACCCCTATCCCGCTTCCCTCCCACTACAGATTTATACACTCTCAAAGTCATTCTGTTTTGTTCCATCTTCTCTACATGTCTGAACCACCTCAACAACCCTTACTCAGCCCTCTCAATAATAGTTTTGGTAATCCCGCACCTCCTCCTAATTTCCAAACTACAAATTCTCTGCATTATATTCACACCACACATTGCCCTCAGACATGACATTTCCACATATGTATGTTACTATGCTTAAAAAAATATCATCAATGTATCTATGTATCGAAGGAAAATACACTGTATGAAATTCTTTTTGAATCAAGTTATTTTTCAAGCATTTCAAAGAAACTATTTTTTTTTTTTAAATTCTGCACATGGTACTTTCTTAATGTCCTTCATAACTCAATACATTATTTATTTATTTTATATCCAGAACACTCTTTATTATTACTTTCTCAGTGAATAATCATGATGCTGCTGCTTTGTAAAAATAATTCTGAGGAAATATTAATAAACTCGTCAAAATTGTTTTAATCTAAAATTGTGAAATTTATTTAGTATACTCAACTTGAGTTGTGTAAAGCCATTAAAGTTATTTCTGGTATCAGTGAAATACATACAGAAGGCCTTGCACATACAGCACCTTTTTCAATAAACCATGCTTTCAATAGCTTTCAAATAATAATAATAATAATAAAAAATGTTTTTGCATTTTTTTTTTTTTTAAAAACAAAAACAAAAAAAAAAGTGATAATGTGCAAGTGTGGTGAAAGTGTTGAATGATGATGAAAGTATTTTCTTTTTGGGGATTTTCTTTCTTTTTTTTGGGTCACCCTGCCTCGGTGGGAGACGGCCGACTTGTTGAAAAAAAAAAATAAAAAAAAATAAAAAATGAGCCACTATTCATTATGTTTGGTGCTTTTTCCTCTTTTCTGCACTTTTCATACAACAGCTGCATAATGAAGGGCAACCAGCACTATATTTTAAGGTAACTATTGTTTGTGCTGTATATTTATTTTACTTTTTATGCCAAGCTCTATTAAGCACTTAATAAATGATACTGTAAATACGTTATCAAGCCTTTTAGATGCATTTGATAATGAAAAAACTGCTCTTTACCACCTGCCAGCAATTTTCGCTTACTGCATGGGATCCGTGTTGTTCAGGACCTTATATTAAATGTTTACAACAGGGATTAGTGGTTAATTCTGTGATAAATCTGCTTACTGCTGGCAAGTCGCCTGGTTGTTCAACTTAATTCAACAAGACTAGGATTTCTCATTGCAATATTTATGTATGCTACTGAAAAAGAGTAGCTCCTCAGTCAGTGAGGTGACAAATGCTGTAAGTGATTTAGAAAACTGATAAACTGATAAATGAGACGCTTATGCAGCAACATTTGGGGATCTTAATTCTGGAAATGTTTTGCCACCCAGTTGCTTCTTCAGTTCAGTGCAGAGAATACCTGGATTATACCTGGAGAGGGTTTTGGGGGTCAATGCCCCCACAGCCCAGTCTGAGACCAGGCCTCATGGTGGATCAGGGTCTGATCAACCAGGCTGTTATTGCTGGCCATGCAAACTGATGTACAAACCACCGCCAAGCTGGTCAGGTACTGACTTTAGGTACCTTCTTGAAGACAGCCAGGGGTCTATTGGTAATCCTTCTTATGTATGCTGGGAGGCAGTTGAACAGTCTTGGGCCCCTGACACTTACTGTGTTGTTTCTCAGTGTACTCCTGCCGAGTCTTTTGCTTTCATAGGGAGTGATTTTCCTGTGGAAGTTTGGTACCAATTCCTCTAGGATTTTCAAAGTATAGATTATCATGTATCTTCTTTGCCTGCATTCCAGGGAATACAAATCAAGGGCCTTCAACCGTTCCCAGTAATTTAGGTGCTTTATTGTACTTATGTGTACCATGAAAGTTCTTTCTACACTCTCCAGGTCAGCAATTTCACCTGCCTTGAAGGGGGCAGTTAGAAAGGTGAAAGATGTGGAGGACTTGAGGTGATCAGTTCCTCAGCCTGGAGTCAATGTGTTCAGTCTTGACGAAAAGGCAATCTTGACAAAAGGCACTACTGTCAAGATTGATGGACTGAACACAAAAGGCATTTTTGTGAAGACTGATGAACTGAACTACTGACTCTAGGTTGAGGGACTGATTATCTCAAACCTCTCCTCATCTTCCACCTTTCTCTGCACTGAACTGAAGAAGCCACTGTGTGGCAAAACATTTCCAGAATAAAGAGGCTCAAATGTTGCTACACAGGTGTCTCATTTATCATGCCAAATGCTGTTAGTTTACATTAAATGATACATAAGTCTTTCCAGGGAGCCTCAGTCAGAGTTGTGTGTACAGTAGTCAGTTAGTTAGGTACTTCTCCAAGCCCAACCATGACAAAAAATTCTCAGTTTACACAAGACGTTATGCAGATAATTTATACATAAAGACATATATGAAGAATATCATGCGAAATATTTATAAACCATCTTGTTAACTATGGTATTTACTCAGAGAAATTGGAAAATAACAGAAGAATTCCTAAACTGACAGAGACTGGAGGATTGCCTCATATTCCTAAACTGAGAGATTGGACAATTAACCGGTATTCCCAACCTTTGAATGCTCTATACTGTAATCCATTTATGGCCGAGAAGAATACCAATGATGGATTAAATACTGTTTGTGAGAGGCTGACATGAGCTGCAAATTCTGAAGACTAAGTCTATAGCTGTATAGAGTGTGGATGTGAAAATGAAAATATGTAGGTGGTGCTGTTATGTTAATTGAAATTTATTTTAGAACAGGGACAGCAGAAAACAAAAGTATGCCCCAAAAAATATATACATATATACCGCTGAGAGAAATATGTGAAGCGTAGAAATAAGATTTACAAAAACAAAGATTTCTCACATAAATTAACAGATTTCTAGAAGAGTACTGGCATCTCTCAGAACTTTAATAAATAAAAAAAAATTCTCATATGAATTTATGAGAAGAGATAGATACCCGTAGATGAGAGGATAGAGGAAATGGGAGAAAACCTGTGTGATATATATTGGTGTGGCAGGAGGAGACAACAAGGAAGTATGAGGTGGGAAAGATGGGCAGAATACAGAAAACACGTTAATACAAAAGAGGAGGAGGAGGAGGAGGAGGAGGAGGAGGGAAGAAAAAAAGTCACTGAGATAAGAGGAGTATATTAAGACAGAAGAAAAGAGAAAAGCAGTGGATGAATGAGAATACTGGAGAGAATGTTTGATATAATAAGAGAATAATTAAAGAGAGCATGAATAGGGATTCTGAGGAGAGAATAAGGAACAGAGGCAAGAAATGACTAGAATTTATTGAGACAAAAATCTGAAGTAAAGAAGTTAGAGAGATTAGAGCAGAGAGTATAGGAGTATGTTAAGACTGGAAGAATATGAATAGACTGAAGTTAGAAAGACAGGACAGTATAAGAGTATATAAGGAAGAGAGTACAGAAAACATATTATGTTTGAGGGTCAACAATTGAGGAGGAGTGAGGGGAGGATATGTTGGTCCACTAGGAGAGTGAGTTGTAGGGAGTATGCTGGTTCAGTATGAATTAGGAGGAACAAAGGGGAAGAATCATGGAGGGAAGATGCTGACTCATCAGGTGAGAGGAACATACATTGGATGGTTAGGGGGTGAGGGAGGAAGTACATTTAAGTGTTCAAAGGATCAACAGGAGGAAGTACATCTAAGTGTTCAAAGGATCAACAGAAGGAAGTACATCTAAGCGTTCAAAGGATCAACAGGAGGAAGTACATCTAAGTGTTCAAAGGATCAACAGGAGGAAGTACATCTAAGTGTTCAAAGGATCAATAGGAGGGAGTATATCTAAGTGTTCACAGGATCAACAGGAGGGAGGGAGGAAGTAGGCTAAATGTCAGGAAGAGAGAGGGAGGGAAGGAAAGAGTGTGCTGATGGATCAGGAAGTGGGAGGGAGTAGGGTGAAGGAAACAGGAAAGGCCCATGGTGGTAGATCAGGAAATAGATGACAAGGAGGGAGCAGA